GGACAGTTTCAACAGAATCTGCCTTCCCCTGCTAAGCACCTAGCTCTTTCATCCATTTCAACTGCTTTTTCTACCTTTCGCATTCCCAACATCCTATAAAAACGCACAGCCAGCAGCCTGAGAGGTAGCAGTTTCCTCTTTCCCATGAGTGCTGTACCCAGTTACCTCTCGAATAAAGCTCTGCTTTGGCTTCTGCCTGGAGTCCTCCTGAGTGGCTTTCTATCCTGAATTTTATCTATCAGTGAGGATATTTTATTTTGCTTGATATTCTTGCTAATATTTTAAATTTTTATATGCATATTCAAAATCTATATTTTATCTTATTTTGGGTTATATATCATACTATCATACCAGTAACTCCATTGATCTATATTCCTTTATTCTCTTTGGCCATGTTTTGGAATTAAAGCTGCTGTAGTCTTTGTAAATTTTATGTAAAGCTGTAGCTACATTATTTAAAACTGAGTTTTCTTCTCTCTTCTCTGGAAATGCATAAGTAAAATGAGAATGATTGTCCCTTGTGGGTTTTAATGAATTTGACCCACAAAAGGTGTCTGAGAATAGTGCAATGTTTTTAAGGTCATTCTTTCATGATTGTCACTTTGTTACATAATTGTATGAATTATTGTCTTTCTTTTTGTAAAAAAAAAAACTATAATTTATATTTTTCTTGAAAAATCGAGCTTTCTATCGAATCCAGACTTTCAAATGTAGTTTTAAAATAGAATGGTAGCAATGTATGTAGTTTTAACTAGTTTCATTTAGTGAGATTATATAAGATAAAGAAGAAAATTAGCAGGTTTGCAAGAGATAGGAGTTGGTTCAGAAAAATGGAATTTAGAGGAATTGGAGATGCCGAATACTTATGGGCCTCAAGTAGAAAGGAACAAAATGCAAAGCCTTAAGTAAGGAAATCCTGTTAATGCTGTCTTATGTCTCATTGAAAGTATCACATTAAGTCTGTGACTTTTCCCCTAAGCCTAGTATCTTCAAGAAAGATACCTTAAGCTGTAAGAAAAAGAAAAAAATTACTGAGAGAAAGGATGGGACAGAAAAGAAAGAAGAAAGAAAGAGAGAGAGAGACGAGGGAGGAAGGAAAGAAGGAAGGGAGGGAGGGAGGAAGGAAGAAAGGAAAGAAGGAAGGAAGGAAGAAAAGAAGGGAGGGAGGAAGGAAGGAAGGGAGGGAGGGAGGAAAGAAGGGAGAGAGGGAGGGAGGAAGGAAGGAAGGAAGGAAGGAAGGAAGGGAGGGAGGGAG